CACACACACACACACACACACACACACACACACACACACACACACACACACACACACACACACACACACACACACACACACACACACACACACACACACTGTACAGGGATTCCCACAGTGACTGGGCAGCATTCCCAACCGGAATGGGCAGCTCACTGGACTGGAAGACTAACATTACTCCAGGCGTGCTCTGGATTAGATCACTCTGGGAATTTCACACTGGGGTAGAGAGAGATGGAGAGTGGAAAATTGAGGGAGACAAGGAGTTAAAATAAAAAAAAGGGAGAGAATGGAGGGAGGGATATAGGAAGAAAAGAGGAGAGGGAACTAATGGTTAAAACAACTCTCAATCCAATTAGGTTGTAAAGCCAGCATGGAGTGGATTGCGCAGTAAGTCTCATGTGATGAAGTTAAAGGTAGTGCAAGGTTCTGAAGATGAGTTTAAGTTCCTTGATATAAGTTAAGGACATTAGAGCATCACAGTTATTCAAACAGAAAGGAGGAATAGTAGGGGGGATGAGGAGCAGTCTAAACATCATGTGCCCTGGTAGTAGAGATGAGAGCGGCAGGGAGAGAAGTATCTTGCTGTACAACAAAGGGGGGAGCATGAAAGGAAGAACAGATGAAAAGTACTCACTGGGCTCACAGCACACGGTGACACGCAACTTCATACATGGCAGAGGAGGGCCTTCATCTGCCGGTAGAGCTAGAGAGAAAGAAAGACAGATTTTAAATACGTTGCTTACATATCAAACCTGACAAACGGTTAATATTTAAACATGTCAAATATTAAGAGAAATATGAATATGCTGAATGAAATCTTCCCATCCGATCTTATCTTTGAGAGCTCTCTTGGTACCTCTTACAAAGGAGGTTGTCTTTTTGTTTCTACCATATCATACATTACATGATATCCAAATAAAGAATCTCCCTGTGTCCCATTTAGTAACATACCTCCTACTTATCTGCACAATAAAAAAAAAACAATAAAATACAGGATTGAGAGTGCAACTATTTAAAAATGCAACATCTCTGATATCAATACTGATCACAGCTCATGTGGGAAATCTGGCAAACATGAGATGTATTACCTGTCAGTTTAGCATCGCTTTCACAAAACAACTCTGTCTGGAAACTGCAGTTAAAGGGCTTTACATTTGAATTATTCACAAACAGCTGCTATCTCAACAGGGACCCACCACACAAGCTGAGTGTATGATCGCTAACAGCCTGTCTCACTTTGTATCTGTAATTTCAACCGATAAGGTAGAGAACAGAAGAGCAGTGAGGCTGTCTTATAAAGCACTTTCTACAGTGGCTGAGAGAGCTCCGCTTGCAAAGACAGAACATCTTCACTGTTATGACAGGACATATGTCCGATAAGGAAACGAAACGCAGCTAAATGAAAAAAAGCTAAATGGGGCAAACACAGAGAGTACTTGCATGAGCTTCAACTCTGTACATTTCACGATGAACATGCCTTGATATGTGATTTTTTTTGTAGGTAAACATTTGTCTCTTATGCTCCAAGTTGAACAAAAAGTGTTCATGTGTTCATTGTTGACGAAACAAATCTTAACTCAAGATCTACTACTACTCAAAAAGCTTTGAGCTTCACTCCGCAGAACGCAGAGGTTGACACTAGAAGGCATGTTCCCGGGCTGAAAGGTGAAAGTTACAGTGCGCCAACCTTAAATCTCTGTTTAAGACTTGTCCATACGAGCAGGATTTGGAAAGCCAAACATGATGCGTCATGCAAATTACATAAATGTGACCTGGAAAGGGGAAACAACAACTGCACATACTGTACACTGGGAACAGGCCTTTTAATCTAGTGGGAGACATCTTGTGTCTGGCAACAAACTTTATGCAAAGTATAATAAAACATTTTACCATCTTGGAGAAGTAGATGGGCTTTTTAAAGATTTTGAAGTAATTTGTTGAACTCTTTATGTCTGCAAAAAACCATATTAGAAACTATGTTGAAAGGCAGACCATCATAAGTCTTTTCATAAACGTCTTGAAACATGTCTAGATAAGATCTTACAGATATGTTCTTCCAATTATGATGGCATATTTAAGTGTTGGACTAACAACAACAGCATTCCTCAGTTTTAGGTGTCCCTTGTAAACGTTTCCTCGAATGGTTCCATGTTAGGGCGCAGCTGACCATCAGAGGATGTCAAGGTGCTTCCTGTTTGTGGGGCTCCGCACATGTAGAAGCCGCAGGGATTGGTCAACAGGTCAGTGTGAGAGGAACAGTCAGTGTGTCGTCAGGGTGATCGTCTTTGGGAGCCGAGAGAGGAGCTGAGCCCGGCTCAGACTGAGCCAACTAATGCCATTAGTGTTTCTAATACCATTGTACTGCTCTCCCAGGCTAATGCCATTATACTGTCCCAGTGCTAGGGGCCCATTCAGCACAGGGACCCCAGAGCCAGACATTTGGACCAACTTTACGCCTTATCTTTGATGTGGACAAAACACACACAATCGCTCTGAGCCCAATGTGGCCCAACCGAGGGGGGGGGGGGCCCATTGTTGCTTTTCACTGAACTTGCCTGAACAACCACAATAGCCCAGTGTGTGTGTGAGTGTGTGTACATATATACATGTGTGTTAGCGTGTGTGTGTGTGGAAGCGCTCTCTCATGCCCTCACAATGCTCCATTGTCCCGTGGACCGCATCAGTAATTTATGTAAAGAATCTTTCTTTCTCTTCGTCTCATCCATCCCTTAACTGTCGCTTTTGTTGCCCTCCCTTTTCTTTCGTGTGGATTCCTCTCATCCGGCCTCTTTTGCCCCCCCCCCTTCCTGTACTGTCAGACTGTGTCCATCTTTTGCTCTTTCTCTCCGTCACTCCTCCACGCTTCTCTACCTCCGTCTGCCTCCCCCCCCCCCCTGTTCACTGTCGTCCTGTATTGATCTCTGTTTCTTCCTCCTACACTTTGCGGTCGCTCTGTCTCTTTGTTGTCACCCTTTCCATACTGCATTCACTTGATTCGTTCATTCTCTGACTTGTTTCATATGCTCCCCCTCATGGTTGGACTGATGCCAGAAGTTGTAAAAAGTAAGGAAAAAAACAGATTTTACAGCCACTAAACCATCCTATGTGTCTCTCACTCCTTTTTCTCCCTCCAGTGGTTTGAGATGAATGAGTGAGGGGACAGAAGCAAAGGAGAGTGTAATGGGAAAGGGGAAACCTTCACTAAAAGTGTGTAACTGCCTACAGGTCTAAGAAAACATCAAATCAATGTCATTCAGGAGGAATTTATGGAGACCATTAATGCTTTAGGCTGCAGTTTGCCAACACTCAAAGCCTCATAAAAAGAAAACACACACAAGCTAAAGTTGTTCTCTACCTTTTCATCACTTCAATTAGGATGTGCGGCCACCACACTGCCTCCAACACCGTCTGATGAACTGAAACAGCAGACATTTACATATTTTCTCTTTTACAGCTGTTTCACTTGACTTCCAGTGTAAGGGGCCTGAAGCAAAGATTCATGGCTTTACTAAAGTAGAAGATGCTCAAAAAATACTAAATGATAATTCACTTTGGGAATTAAAAACAAATAACCTTTAGTCATGTATTGAACCTAGATACTTTTTAGGAAATTAAAGTACTGCTTTCAGTAATATTTGTGATACAAAATAAGCAGTTTCTCTGAGAAATGTGTTTAACTCCAAGGGGTTGGGGTAAGGGTTGACTAAGGATAAGATGTTACATCATTCTAGTCCTTTTCAAAGCTTGGAAACGGTTTTTTGCTTACTGAGTCAAAATATTTAATGTTCGCTCTCATCTTGCAAAAAAAAAATCAAAACATCACCTAGTCCATCGTCTTACTTTTAAGCACAAGTCACTTTTGTTTATCTGATGTGATAATAATCTGAACGTTTTGGGGGGTTTGACTGTTGCAGTCATCTTTGGTTTGAGGAAAATGTGATCTCTTTTCATATGTTTTCCATTCATAGACAATAGATGGATTTGCAACCATAACTGACCGAAACGTGCCCTCATTAAATTACCAAATCCATACAAATATTTGACTGTTTACATCTTTTGCAAGGCTGCTTGTTTAACATTAGAAAAACTAATGTTAAACAATTTATTTTAAAAGAATAGGCTTGAGAACTCATAAATGTTGATACCAATACATTACATGTTACCAATACCAAACTCTTTTAAATGATACCCAGACCCACTTGAATCTGACACAATGGCTAAATGGCCCCCCACACTCCCACACAAAGAGACACACACATCCTCTACTCACAGCTGTAGTAGTAGTGGCGCCCTGGCAGAAACTCAAACCCCAGCGAGAAGGGGGTGAACCTTTGGATCTTCTCAGAGAAGCGCACAGGACCAAAGGGGGCGTAGGGGGTGTTACACTCCCACCTCTTGATGGCCCCTCTGGTCTCCACACAGCCCTGGAAAGAGGCCTCCCCCACCAGGTAGAGGGCCAGCTCCTCGGGCTGCCCGGAGCCCTGGGGCCTCTTGTTGGGGTAGTGAGGGCAGTAGATGTCCAGGTAGTCATTCAGATTCACCTGGATGGACATATCTCCTGCTGTTAACCTGGAAGAACCAACGAAAAGCACATTAATATTTCACGTTACATGGAGTAAACTGAAGGGTAAAGAGAGATGGCGATTAAACAGCGACGGCGAGAGAAAGAAGACTGATGACAGAAATTCCATAATTCCTTTGTGCCGGGAGGAATGTGGATAGTTACAGCAGATGAATAGTTCATCAATATTACACATAACGATTGCACAGGGTTAGAAGGCAAAGTTGTGCAGGTTTCAAAGAATGTTTTAGAGTTTGATGTATCCCAACGACTGTTTTCTACTTCCAGGCCAGCAAAGGAGCGGTTTTGAGCAAAAACAACAATTCCTCAATTGCTAATTAAGACCAATGAGGGGGGTTCAGAGTAGAATACACTTGACTCCCTCCGCTGTCCGTTCTCCCTCTACACACACAGAAGTGTAAAAATGTATGCAGACGTGCACGCGTACGCACAACCCGCAGCTTCAGTCAAGGTTGACCGGCTCTGGGCATAACAACAACTCAGGACAAGAAAAGCATCATTAGGACAGAAGAGCTGCATTATGCATGTTCCTTTGGACTGCAGATTCTCACTTCCTGTCAGCCACAATATAAAGAGTTACCTGGGTGTAAACTAATACGGAAGAAGAAAGGATATGAGGGAAATGAAGGGAAGTCGATGTATGAGGTGAATTCAACATGAAGAAACCATAAGACTTATGAATCAGGAGATGGTAAATGAGGAGAGAAATGTGAGACCAATGTGACTGATGGAGGTGACATGAGGCGAGGCCCGGAGGAAGACAGATGGAGACTGATGAAAAGAGAGCTGTAGAGACAGGTTGGAGCAGACAGATGGGACGAAGAAATGAATAAGAAAGCCAGAAGTTTGATGAACAGGTATACAAAAAAAGTGGAGTAAAGAGAAAAGAAAGTGGTGTTTTAATTAGCGACCCCAGAGAGTCCGAGTGCAGACACTGAGAGGAGAACAACGAGTGTGAGAAAGAGAGGAGACGGACTTTAATTGGGCTCCTCTTCGCATGGTGCGCAGGAGACGAAGAAAGAGGGGCTTGGGCAGAAGGTTCAGGTCCATCAGTGGGAGTCTTTATGGAGGGGTGACAGAGCGGAGGAGAGAGGAAGGGAGTGCTGGGAGTCGGCGAAGGGGAACATGGGAGTGAAAAAGAGCGCGGAAAAGGGGATGGGAGGATGGGCGGTGGACGGAGGAGCAGACTTAAGATAAGTAGGCCGACAGAGAGGAGACCAAAAGAATAAGCGAAAAATAAGAGCGGAGAGGGAGGAGGAAGAGGAGGAGGGGACACACTGAAATAAAACAGACATGACAGGCAGCAGGAGACGAAGATGGTCCAGCACATCTACAGAGCGTGTCAAGGATCGATGGAGCAATGAGAGGAGAAATCACAAGACGCTATATGAGAAGGAGGAGCCATATTACATGATTGACTTTCAACCTGAATGCTGGTTGAACAGTGATAATAAAGCAGAGTGTGTGTGTGTGTGTGTGTGTGTGTATGTGTGTGTGTGTGTGTGTGTGTTTTTTGTCGTGGAAATGTAGGTGAGACCCTGCAGGCAGGTCTCACTGAACGCTGCTTCCTGCTCAATAGCTAGCGTGAAGAATTGGCGATCTATCTACAGGACACTATTGATCGGGATCCCTCGCTCAGGGGAGACACACACACACACACACACTCCACCTGATCGATATCCCCTCTGTGAATGTGCTTGTGTGGCCGGGCCCCGACGGCTCTATTACCTGTGTGCTAATTACAGCCCGACTTCATTGTCTGGTTAAGGGAACACACACACACACACACACACACACACACACACACACACACACACACACACACACACACACACACACACACACACACACACTTCATAGCTGTGGTGCTTTTGAAGGCTTCTCTAAGACACAGAAATGTTTGCTTAGGTGCACCAGCTGTGGAAGTGTGCGTGAATGTGTAATAATAGACATGTGCTGTGTCAACATGCTGCCCCCCCCCCCCGCGATCTCATTCATCTCAAGCTTCTTCTTCAGATTCCCCCCTCACCCAACTCCTGATTCATTACATTCCTCCTCCTCACCCCCTCACCCCCTTCCTCTCTTGATCTCCTTCCTTATCTCTCCCCACTTTTGAGGCTGCATGTCATCCTGCTCTCCCTCCTATGTATGACTCCTCTCTATCCTACGTTACCCCCCTTTTCCTCCCACAAGTCTCCAACCTTGGCCCGCGTCATATGCACGCCAGCAATTACTGAGACTGTGTGCTCTACTGATGTCAAACTGTCAGGCCTCTTTCCATCCTCTTCCCTCCCTTCCTCCCTTCTCTGTGGCCCTGGTAGGCTTGGGTATGCCCTAATTACACTCAGCATCCTCCCCTACTGCCAGCCACCACGCAGCAGAGTGGTGACAGCACAGGGGCATCATGGGAGCACCGAAGAGCTGAGGGTGTAAAAGAACAGAGAGCTGGTGGAGTAGCCCATCGGCTGGAGAATGCTCTGGAAGCGGAGGATTGGTTTGGTCCAGAGCTGGAGCTAAAGGGGAGAGGGCAAAGACACAGCACACACACACTCATGTGTGTTTGAGCACATGTGGTCCTGAATGCACACACACATGTTCACACACTCTAGGCATACACACACATGGACATGAAAGTACTTCAGGAGAATAAAACATGCTCTCCCCTCATGCCAGAGGGTGATCGGTGACACCCTTCTGAGCACTAGTGCAAGCTCTTGGTTGATAAAAAAAAGGAGACAAATCAAAAAGAACACGCTGCGCCCTTCAATGGAGGACTTGAAAAGGCGAACATTTATCCTTTTTTTTTATAATTGCAGGAAATTGCATTCAACATTTAAAAAATTGAACAACTGATGTCCTCCCCATGTGTGTCCATATTAACGTGTGTGCATGACATACATTCCTCTGTGTGTGTGTGTGTGTGTGTGTGTGTGTGTGTGTGTGTGTGTGTGTGTGTGTGTGTGTGTGTGTGTGTGTGTGTGTGTAGTTATAATGAAATGCAGGGGTTTGACTGTGGCAGAGACCTTTGATCCTTTAATATGAGAGAATAATTAAAGGAGCAACAATCCCACAACACGGCTTCAGGAATACAGAGCAGATACTCGATCACGCAGAGCAGCTGCGTACTATGCATACTGAATACACTTGGGTACTTAACGCATGTACTGCACATAAACATGGGGGCAACAAATATTCCGCTACAATACAAATGCTAATATCACACTGTACCATGCATCCCAAATGAACGTATACTGTAGATACTGTGAATTTAATAAACGCGTTCATGCCTGTGATGGAACGATAAGAAGCCCACAGTCTGTTGGTCCCTTGAAGTGACGACGGGAGGCAGAGAGGCTTAGAGGAGCCTCAGTTCTTCCCGTGGTAAATCACAGCAGGCGGATCGCTAACTCGGTTCACTATGGTGACTGGGCACAGTACGTTTCTGTGGTCACTGTGCCTTGGCGGGGCATAGCGTGACACAGCTTCTGCCTCTGTGGTGCTGTAGTAACACTTCAGCTAAAATGGGAGGATGTGTGTTGCTCTCGAGGAGGATGACTTTGTGAAATGGTATTGTATATTTCAGTTTTGGTACACCAGATGGGTGGGGTTAGCCGTTAACAGATGACAGCTGAGTCATTAATTGTGATGAATAAAATAATGTCATCTTTGACATACTGATTGCATTAGTATTCCAGGTGTCACGGTTTAGTTAATCCAACTAGTCATCTCAATTTGAACTGGAATGGCTTTGCTATGTAGTTTTGCCTGCTGAAACAAAGTCAATCTGTGCTTTCAAAACTCTGGTGAACTTTCACACAAAAATGTGGACTGCCGACCAACTCCACATTGTTGTGCCTCTCCCAGTCTTTAAGGACAAATTGAATCGGGACTTACTGCCAGACTAAACTGTTCCACAAACTGGAAAAATGTGCAGTTGTTGGAATTGGCGGGGGTTGTTGGAACAAAAATGCATCTTGAAGAAACTGTTTTTAACCAACCACAGCAGCCAACTACACTAACTAACCGTGTTCCTAACCTTTCAACCACAGCTGTTTTGTAGACACTTAATAATGACTTCAGCTGAGCAGTTTCATGGTGAAATCTTGTACATCTTAAAGAATGACATGGATACATCTCTCAACACAAGAGAGGGATTGAAGAAAACTGTACACATTTTGTTGCTGGGCAGGTGAAGAAGACGAGGCTCTAGAAGTCTTTCCATGGGAATAACAACACTGTACTGTGGGGGGAAAACTGCTGGAAAGTATGAGAGAAGTTCAAAACAAAAAAGCCCAAAGATGGTACAGGAGGAAAGAAGGAACAAGGCAGAGAACAAGAGAATACTCTTTCTCTTCAAAGCTTTAATGACCTCCTGCTCCAGAGGCTATCCTATCTTCAGAGAGAGAAACAAGAGGAATAGGACACCTGTAGCTCCTCATGAGTCAGACATGAGAGGGAGAGAGAGAGACTTTAACTCGTCTTTCTTTTGTTCCCCATCTCTTCTCTCCTGCTCAATCTTATGCTGCGCTGTTGTAAAATGGAACAGAATCAGGGCAACCCCCCCTCCCCCCTGTCCTAGCNCTAGCCATGCCCCCCCCCTCTTCGCCCACACAAAGCCATGCTGTGTCCGGAGCCTAAACACCAATGTTGTGTCTAACCTGGTGCTTACTCCCCTCAACGCGCACAAACAAGGACTTCCCCCCCCTACCTCTGACCATCTGGGGCCCCCCCACAACCCCGACTGCCCAGCTGGCAGAAATAAATCCCTTTACTAACCCCCTTCAACCTCACATCCCCGGGACGCTGCAGACCCTGTATTTTCAAAATGTAAGTGTCATCAAACTGAGGTAAAGGATGGTGGTCAACCCCTCCTCACTGAGAGGGAAAAGGGACTTAAGGGGAACAAGCTGTTGCTCTTATCTACCGTTTCCTGTTTGGTGCGCCTATGTTCATGTTTTCGTGTACGTGTGCTTCCTTCAAGGTCAGA